AAAGCAATTTTATTTCATGAAAAAGCCCTTGCAATTCAACAACAATCACTTCCTTCTGATCATTATGATTTCAGTGCTTCCTATAACAACATCGGCTCGGTGCAGTGCAACATGGGTAATTATGCAAAAGCACTTTTCTTTCATGAAAAAGCTCTTGCAATTCAACAACAATCGCTTCCTTTCAATCATCCTCATTTGAGTGTTTCCTACAACAACATTGGTAATGTATATTACGCCATGGGTGATTGTCCAAAAGCACTTTCGTATTATGAAAAAGCCCTTGCAATTCGACAACAATCACTCCCTTCCAATCATCTTGATTTAGCTTCTTCCTACAACAATATCGGTTTGGTGTATGATAATATGGATGATCATCGAAAAGCAATTTCATCTCATGAAAAGGCCCTTGTAATTCAACAACAATCACTTCCTCCCAATCATCCTGATTTGGGTACTTCCTATTACAATATCGGTAATTTGTATTACAACACGGGTGATTATTTAAAAGCACTTTCTTATTATGAAAAAGCCCTTGCAATTCAAGAACAATTACTTCCTTACAATCATCCTGATTTGGGTGCTTCCTACAATAAGATCGGTTTGGTGTATTCTAACATAGGTGACTATCCAAAAGCACTTTCATCTCATGAAAAAGCCCTTGCAATTCGACAGCAATCACTTCCTTCCAATCATCCTAGTTCCGCTTCTTCCTATAACAATATTGGTTCGGCATATGTGCATATGGGTAACTATTCAAAAGCTCATTCATTTTATGAACGTGCTGTACAAATTGGACAACAATCGTTACCAGCAAATCATCCTAATCTTCAAAAATGGAGAGAAAATCTCGAAAACATAAAAAAGAAATTATAATTGCTTGCTTTCTTATTTTTTTGAAAGTAAAATATGACTGATGGAAAAGAAAATGTGTCTCTATTGGAACTCTGTTCTTATTGAGAACACAATATGGGCAGTAACACTCACCGGTAGGGTAAACAAGACAAACTGAAAAGATATGTACTGTAGAAAAGGCCTTTACGGTTACATTATTATGTCTGAACAAGGTTTCGTTGTGTTAGATAATAAAGAAAGATACGCAACAGAAACATAGAAGAATAGAAGGAGAGAAAAAATTTATTTTATGAATAGAATGGATTAGTCTTTCTGTTATATAACGAATTCAAGAGAATAAATAGTAAATCAGTAGTTAATTATTATTTCACATCGTTTTTATTTTATATAATTTCATACAAAATCGTAAGCTTTTCTTATTATATTTCCATGTTCCTTTATTATTAAAAGGCCACTAATATGAAAGATAATTGTATACATAATTTTGAAGATCTGCAATTTTTTTCATTTCGTTTTTAAAGTAAATTAAACATTATAATAAACTGTAAAAATAGTATATAAAGAAAGCAATGATACTTTAAGAAAAAACAAAGATTTGGTTCAGATTTGCAAGAATATGTATAATATTATTTGTTTATAGAAATCTTTTCTTCGAAGAAAGAAAAATATATTATATGAGAAGTATATGGTTTTATTTAGGAATACATAATAGAAAAGAATGAATGCTAAAATTGATCTTGTATATAATCCATCGATGACAGATTAGTATTTTATACATATTAAAATAACTTTATAAATGTTGAATATGGTTATTAAATTTGTCTTAAAGAAAATGTAGTATAATATGTTCATTCAAATAATCAATTTAATTTCTTAACAATGACGTAGAAAAACAAATCCAAATAATAGTTTATTAAAAGACCAACAGCTGATTACTTATAATACTTAGTTATTATATTTCTAATAGGAAATACAAAACAGGAAGTAACATACATGATATCTCTAATACTTTAATTATATAACTACGTCTTAAAACTATCATTTTTTAATAATATTGTGTAAATTTATCATGTTTCTAAAAAAAACGTATATATAATGACATCATATAATTTTCATTTACATTGAAGAATTCAACGTCATAAAATATTTTTATCAATGATACTTTGATGCAATTAACTTGAAGCTTCTCAAATATCTTCTATTTTATTGACGTCATAGATATAGGAGAAGTTCGTTTGGTTGACTTTCTAAATAAACATTTTAATTATATTCAATGATAAAATATCCATATCGATTGTATTTTAGTGAATCTAATGAGAAAAAATGAAGTATTCTCGATTACAAGTCTATTGTTTTCATTTTAATAACTAATGACATATTATAAATAATTAATTTCAATAAAATGCAATGAATAATCATATTTAGTTAATGACTTAGTCAATAAAATGTAACTCTTATTTAAATGAAAGAATTTCGTATGAAATTAAGAAAATTTATCTTAGGTAAAGGAATTTTATTCTGGG